ATTCTGCTGTTGTAGCTACCTCAAGTATAATTCAAGTCTTCATGTAGTCAGTTTTCTGACATGGTCTACCTTGTAGGTCTGACAGGAAAGACATGTTTACCAGTTACTATGGTTTCTCAGAACCAAATACTTTCCTCTGTAACAGGGGTGTCAAACTGCTGGCCCACGGGGTGGACATGTCATGACGAAAACCATGCCCACCCCATTGCCGGCAATGGGGAAAAAGCTCCGATACGTCATGCGACATCACGTGATGTCGCGAGTTTGACATGTCTGCACTATAGTATCACTATTTCCCTTTCCAGTCCTTTACATTAAATGGATAAGTGGGATCATCAACTCAACTGATAGATTTGTAAGTTCCCTTCATATACACTATATTCAAAACCTATAGTAATATGATTGGGGTTGTTATTGGAAGTATTATTTGACCCAACATGGATCATAACAGTGGATTTTGTTTTATCATAACATTAATCCATGTTCCCATAATATAACACTCTTCAAAGCTGATGGAATCAATTGAGATATCCTTGGTGCTATCTGAGCTTGATTGTTTTCTTGCAGACATTTCATAGGTAACTTCATCAATGCTAGCTGCCACATGTTATTTCTGTTTTCATGGAGATGAATCACCAAGTTCCACAATTCTTCTCTTTGTCATCTTGAGGGGTATTACAAATATATGCCATTCGTTTTCAGGCAGGAGCATAAACATTCATTTTATTAGGAATTCTAAATTCTGCACAGGTTCCTCTTTATCTAAACAACAATAGGTCTCCCCAGCAATAGTACAATAACAGTAGTTGGATTGACAGGGTCATCAAAAATCATCTATCAGTTTCCATGACTGGAGGTGGACTTGAGGCTTGGTTGCAGGTAATTCTGGTCACTTCGTTATTATTTCGTTTCTTAATGAAAGTTCCTTTGGTGGGGAAAACAGTGTCAATCCATTATTATTTTCTCAGGCAGTGAAGTTAGCCAAGTATAAACTCTAGATTTAGAGGAAAATTCCACCAACAATTTTAACTGCCAAACTCTTGTTAACGCTTCCTGTCTACTGCTTCAGGATGCTCATTCCTTGAAAATCTTTTTTTGTTAGGTTATATTGAGAAAAAGCTACACAAAGCATATTTGCTGATTTTTTAAAAATTGATTGTATACTGAAATCAAAGACAGTGCCAGGTCAGCTATCTGTCCTGACAAAGTGCATTTCAGAGGAACTTTGAAGTATGAGTGAGTTCTCCCAAGTAGAGGGGTTAACATCATGTTGACCAGCAACAAAGAGAAAAGCTTCTGAATAGGAAGGTGAGTCAGCTTCTACTTACCTATGATCGTAATTTCTATTGGTCTCCCTTTGTTAAGGCTTAACTTACTTTCAGCTTCTATAAATGGATTTGATTTGAGTATAGTTACAAATTAGGGCTAAATACAAGATGAGGATTATTTTTAAAAAACTTAGGACAAATCAGGAGTAATAAACTATCTTTTTACTATAAAAAGAAAGGAAAAGATAGGGGCTGGGAAATAAAATCAACCTTGAGTTCATCTTCACTCCTGGATTCTACACGAATATGTTGAATTGTCCATATAATTGGTAATACAGAGAAGTGGATAATAATTGTCTTTCTCTCCTAACAAAATGCATGGTATATTTTTTGTTTTTATCAATAAAAGAGAATATTGGCAGCCCAGGATGGAACTGTAGAGTCTTTGGTGCTCTTTGAGTTTGGTTGTATGTTTAGTTGCTTGTTTCAAATCTACAATCACTTGCAATGATGATACTTTTTAGGTAGATCATGAAATGTCTGCAAGTAAACAACCAAGGTCAAAGAACATCAAGAACCCCACAATTTTTTTTTTCATCAGAGGAAGAAATTCTGGATTTGCATTGTCTTTAAGTTATACTTAGATTTATTTTTACTTTTTAATGGTACTCAGAAAAAAAGAACTTCTGAATTCATGACCTAATTCTCCAATCTCTGTGATGCACAGATTGAGAAAATTTTAATCTTCCCACAGGAAAAGATTGGATTATAAAATTGACAGAGCTGACAGAGATGGCAAAACCAACCAGTTTGGACATGAGGGAAAAAAACTAAAACTTTTTTAAAAGAATGGAAGCCTTATATGGAATTTTTGCTGGAAAAAAAAAGTGACCTGATGATTTATTTTTAGAAGATTAAAAAAAGTTTAAGGAAGGAGGGAAAAGAGTAAAATGGCAATTACTTGATGGAAAGATCGGTAGAAGTTAAAATTCATGGGGGAGGGGGTGTCACTTTACTTTTTTAATTTCCTATCTTTTTTTTCTTGTTCTTATTTTTTCTAAAAAATATTTTTTCATAATTTTATTATATTATGAAATTCTAAATTCTGATGTGAATTCTAATAAAGTGGTATTTTTTTAAAAAAAAAATAAGGCAATTTATCAATCTCACCTTTCATTATTTGCATACATATAGTCAAAAAAGGAAAGCTTTGTCCTTTCACACAAATACTGAACTGCTAAAAATGGAGTCAGGGAGCTGTCCAAATAACATCCATTCTAAAGGTATATAATGTTAGTTATAACTTCTGTCTCCCAAGATGAGTAGAATAAAATGTCTCTTGCTTATGGATCCTTTTGATATCTATTTTCTGAAGGTAGAAAGAGAAAGGGAAGTACAACTAAAAGATGGGCCTTCTCTATTGTAGCCTCTTCTTCATAGAATATGAAACCTTTCATTAGGCTTTAAAATTTTGATTGTGTATACCTGAGCCTGGGGTTTGGAATGTGTTAAGAACCCCATTTTCTGGCTTTACGATAGTTGGTTATTTTTTGTATGATTTTATTGTTTGTAACTATTTTAACTGTTTTATAGTTTTAGAATTCTAAGCTATCCAGAGTCATTTGGCTGAAATGGGTGGCTATAAGAAACTGAATAAATAAACAGATACATAAAACATAAACTTGTGTTAGAGTCAACACAAGGGGATATTTCTCTTCCACCCCTCAAATTACCACCCACCCTCATATCCAAAGGATTCTCAAAGTCTTCAGTTTATTTGCTTTTAAATGTTTACTGTTTTTTTTCCCCACTTCTGATCACTTATGCTGCTAGGAAGCCCCTTAGCCTATAAAGATGTGCATTACAAACTTCATTCTTACAACTGTGAGCGTTTTCTCAAATATTGCCCCTGTTCGATTGCTTACTTGTGAAAATGAATTTATTTCACAATATTTGAAGAAGTGTTCATTTTAATGCCTTGTTTTCCTTTATAATGTTGTTCTTTTTTAATTTTTATTTATCATTTTGCTTCTGTGGTGTGATGTTGCTGTAGCTCAGCTAATTGTGATGTGCTTTCATCTTCAGACATTTGCATGCCATTAGTTGTAAAACTGGGAAGACATAAGAATGGCTAAGACATTCCTACTCTTTGAATTCTTAGGAATAGAACTGTCCCTGTTTTTAAGGTGTAGCATTGGTATGATGAGTATAGTCCTTGACTTACAACTATTCGTTTAGCAACCATTCACTATTACAACAGTTGTCAAGGTTCCGATAAACGAGACCAAACAAATCAGAACTCCGAGGCTAGAGATTTCCTCAAAGAACATGTTAATTGGCTACATAGTATTGGCACGGTCAAAAGTAAAACCAAGTCTGAAGTTTCCTTCAAAGCAGTGTTTCTCAACCTCAACAACTTTACAATTTGTGGACTTCAAGTCCCAGAATTCCTCAGCCAGCATGCCGGCTGGAGAATTCTGGGAGTTGAAGTCCACATATCTTAAAATTTCTGAGGTTGAGAAACACTGCTTCAAAGAGAGACAATATTACAAAATTGGACTTCCCACCCCATTGCTTTGCAATCAGCTACGTTCCCCAATAGAACAGTTTGGTGGCTTTTCTCACAAAATGCTCAACCCCCCCCCATCTAATTGACAGAAATGACCTTGGTTCGCATGAGACAGTGAAATGTTTAGACTAGCAGAAATCTTCCATACCCCCTCCCAATTCTGTGGCAACGTAGAACGGGCAAGATGGCTGCAGCCAGGTTTGTTGTAGAGGTGACAACAGGACTGAAAAAAGTAATCTACAACCACCCTTGAACTTGCAGCATCTCCATGACCATATGATCAAAAATCAGATGCTTGGTAACTCACAGGTATTTACAGTGATTGCAGTGTCCAGGGATCATGTGATTGCCATTGGCAACTTTCCCAAGCAGCTTCCAACAAACAGTCAATGGAAGAAGCCAGATTTGTTGACAACTGTGTGATTCACTTAATAGCCATGGCAAAAGAGGCCATAAAATTGGGCAAAGTTGACTCATTTAACAATCACCTTGCTTAACAAAGGAAATTGAGGTCTCAATTATGGCTCTAATTTGAGGACTGCATATATTTACCTGTAATGAACTTGCCAAAATCCAATCTGGTTGAATACACTTATAGAAATGTTGGGTTACGAACGTTTATATTCCCATTTCTTTCTTAAAAGAAACTGTGGTTTAATGATCCCAAATGTAAAATTGGCTAATAGTTTTATTATAAACAATGAAAGTAGCACAAAAGAGTGGGTAAGCTTATGAATGTTTAAAGGGCTACTATATCTGCACTGTGGAATCCAGAAATCTAAATGACAACCTAACATGCAGGTTTGTCTTTCTGGGTTGCCACCTAATATTCAGTTTTTTGCAGCTCAGCTCTGGTAGCCCTTCTGTAAAGAATTCTTAATCAGAAAAGTGAGTTAGAAAAAAGAGGAGGATATTTATACAAAGGCTAATCTATAGGTTTGTAAAAAAAAATGAATTGTTGATGCATTTAAAAAAGAGGTTTTATGGCTAGTTTTTTTTATCTCTTTCTCTCTCTTTCCCTGTGTTTATCCTGATCACAGCTGATTTATCTAGCCCTGTGTTTTCTGAAATGTTACTTGTACCTATGACAGCGCTTCCCACCCACCCTGCAACTCCTACACCATCTGTCCGCCTGATGAATTCCTCTCCTTCCCCTTCTTTAGCTATTCCAAGTTCCAGGATCCTTCCCTCTGCTCCCCGAGATGTGGTTCCTGTCTTGGTCTCCAGCCGATTTGTCCGTCTCAGCTGGCGCCCACCTGCAGAGGCAAAAGGGAACATTCAGACCTATGCAGTCTACTTTTCCAGAGAAAGCATCAAGAGGTAAGTCTGGATCATGCTAGATTCCTCTAAAGACACAGGAAGGCTTCTTCTTCACCAAGCAAATTCAAATTCTATGATCTGCATGAATGATATAAGCTGAGTTGCTTAGAGTTACCGTAGTGATTGATGCAATAGATCAGTGTTTCTCAACCTTGACAATTTTAAGGCATGTGACTTCAACTCCCAAAATTCCAGAGCCAGCAATGCTGGCTGTGGAATTCTGGGAGTTGAAGTCCACATGCCTTAAAATGGTCAAGGTTGAGAAACACTGCGATAGATAGATAGATAGATAGATAGATAGATAGATAGATAGATAGATAGATAGATAGATAGATAGATAGATAGAGAGATAGATAGATAGATAGATATTTAGATAGAGATAGATAGATAGATAGATAGATAGATATAGATAGATGATAGATAGATGATGATGATAGACACACAGACAACAGAGATGATGAGAGATAGATAGATAGATAGATGATAGATAGATAGATAGATTTTGAATGTTTATGTGTATATTCTGTTTCAACTGACTACAAAAGATTCTCCTTCGCTGCTTTATTTTTAATCATACCTCTCATTTAGTTAGCATGTGTGTGTTTGTGTATGTGAAATGAACCAGAACAAAATATAATATGTGATATAAGAATGCTAAATTGTGGGAGAGGGTGGAATTAGGAACAAATACGATCCAGTGATGATGCAGAAAAGATAAATGGATCTTCAACAAATACTTAAAAGATGTAAAAATAGGTACTACACACACTTGAGGGGAGAGAGTATTTCAGAAGGTACGTCCCATTCTGGTAAACCCAGAGTGATGGTGCTCTGTGATTCTTGAAGACTTGCAGTGAAACCTCCCCAAATAATCAGTAATTGACAGTTTTGCAAAGGTAAAGATGCCCTAACTTCAGGGTCTATGTCATAATCAACACCGTGAAGTTAGGAAGATTAATTACATTTTCTTGAGCCAAATGAAATATGTGGATATATTCATAAGGTGTATACGGTTTCTCAGGAGGGAAAAGGATGGTTGTATAGTACATTGCTTTGAAATACTGTAATACCTTATTTTCCCTGAAAATAAGATTGGCTTTTATATTAATTTTTGTTCCAAAAGATGCATTAGGGCTTATTTTCTGGTTAGGTCTTATTTTGGGGAAAATACGGTACTAAATGCATCTGGCTTATAATCTTAACTAGGACTTATTTTTGGGGTGGGGCTTATATTACAAGCATCCTGAAAAATCATGCTAGAGCTTATTTTCTGGTTGGGTCTTTTTGGGGGAAACACAGTAGCAGAAGGAGCAACAGGTAAAGGGAATTGGTACTTACTCACTTTAAATGAGGTTATCAACACTGCAAATGATCTAAACATTGCAATATTAGCATTAGATGCCAAGGAGAAGTTAACAAGTAGTTAAGATAGTCTTCTAGTTTTGAAACCTCTTTATAGGCAAATAGATTAAAAGTCCACTAAGAGATAAGTGGCTATGGGAAGAATCTCCATCCACACCCATGCAGAGAAATCCCATTTGTAAAGACAAGCTAACTCAGCAAGGTCAATTTGTCTCAACCAATTGTTGAGGTGAAGTCAAGTGTCTCTTCATGATAGAACATCCTGCAGAAAGACGGTGCTTCACACAACTTTACCAATTGAGTGTTTTCAATAATTCACCAGTTATAATTACTTGTCCTACATCATGAATCTCTAACCTTGGAATCTATACCTGTCAAATCCATCAGTGGTAGGTTCCCTTCTGAGCAAAGGCTATATTGTGAAGAGTTAGAGATCCATCAGTGTTAGGATGGAAGGCAGGTAAAAAAGGGAAAGTGTGAACTTCAACTTCAACTCAGACGTAGTTGAATTCATGGCCATGTAAAATACTATCAAGTATTTTCTCATTGTTTCCATTCAAATACAAATCAAGTTCAACCTTGCTTAGCTTTAGTCATAGTCATATATTATGTCAATTATTTTGCAATGTATTTTTTAAAAAAATCTAAAGAAGCCAAAAAGTTTTCAATTATTTAAATCAGGGGTGTCCAGGCTTTGGAACTTTAAGAACTATGGACTTTAACTCCCAGAAATCCTCAGCCAGCCATTATGGGAGTTGAAGTCCACAAGTCTTAAGGGTCTCAAGGTTGAAAACTCCTGGTTTTTATAGTATCTTCTAATATAGATATATTTTAAAATTGGTTATGATTGTGGAGGGGAGGAGTTACAATGAGTGATTTACAAGTAACTATGCATTTTCATGAAATAATCAATAGAAAACACAGCATCTTTCCTTTGTAGAATCTACTTCTATAAGGCGTATCATCCTCCATTTAGCTAGAGGGTATAAACACTAAACATTGGACTTAAAATGCCACATTTAATTTAAAAATAAAACTTTGAAAAAACGTTTTAAGACTTTGTATGGTGGTGATGACAGCCTCAGGTCTTGTGAATTTTCAGGCTTTCAGCAGAGTTTCCTTTATTTTTCGTACATTATTTTTTTTATAAAAGAACTGTTTTTCCTTTATAATAATAGCGGATCTGACATTAACCTGAGGCATGCACGGAAATTGTCAGACAAATTACTGTAACTCCTGAGAACTGAATGATTCTTGGTGTTGCAAAAATAACAGTGATTTTGCTTCAGAATTGACAGTTTTCCCATGACTGGCACTGCGTCATTCTGTGACATGACTCCAGCCCTTATACATGCCTGGCTTGCTGAAGTCCTATGACATCTCCCTCAAAACTTATGCCCTCCAAATGTTCAGGACTTCAACTCCATCAGACTTAGTCATTAGGGTCAGTGGCAAGAGAGTGTGATTTTTTTTTAAAAGACAACCTATGAAAGCTTAAACCAATAGTGTTTAACCAACCTAGAACTAAGGAGAAATTTCTTGACAGTTAGAACAATTAATCAGTGGAACGACTTGCCTCCAGAAGCTGTGGGTGCTCCAGCCCTGAAGATTTTTAAGAAGAGATTAGCGAGCCATTTGTCTGAAATGGTATAGGGTCTCCAGATTCAACAGGGGAGTGGATTAGAAGACCCCCAAGATCCCTTCCAACTCTGTTATTCTGTTTTGTTAGATAGATACAACAGGTCCTTGCAGCTTTTGTTGACTTGAGACTAACTGCAGCATTCCTATGACATGGTCTTCCTTCCATCCCCAAAGCTTAAGTCTGCTTCAGAGATGAAGTAATGTTTTCCCCTTTGACTTGAATCAGTTATGGATGCCATATGATGACCTTAACTATCATTCAGTTGTGTACAGTCAGATAAGCCTGAGGAGATGGGAATCAATCGAGAACCGATATGTGGTGAAAGAGAATTCACGAAGGGTACAAATGTGATGAGAAGCTCTAAATCTGAACCGTAATCTTTTTTTTTCACGTTAAGAATTGGATATTAGGAAAAACTGGACAAAGGAAGAAAGGAAATAATTGAAATTAATTTAACCGAAGGAATGATTGTAGTATGTTTTCAAAAGGGAAAGTTATATATGAAAGGTGTTACAAGATAGATTAATTTCTGAATAGAATGGATAGGAAATGGATGTACATAAAGGAAAAAAAGGGATATGAAATAGTGAAAATAACTAATTTATAGAGTGGCCCAGAAGTTTGTGGAGTTATGCTAAATATACAATATTACATTAAATATATGTATATTTACAATATATACAATGTATAGTATATTAAATATACAATACAATACAATAAATATACAAGTGTTGCTGGACTTAACTGAATAATTACAGGTAGTCCTTGACTTATGACCATAGTCAAGCCCAATTTTTTGTTTGTAAGCAAGACAGTTGTTAAGTGAGTTTTGCCCCATTTTACGACCTTTTTGCCATAGTTGTTAAGTGCATCACTGCAGTTGTTCAGTATCGTGGTTAAATGAATCTGGCTTCCCCATCACTTTGCTTGTTAGAAGTTTGCCAAAGGTGATCACTTGACCCTGGCAAACTGCAAGTTTAAATATAAATCAGCTGCCAAATGTCTTGGCAACTTGGCAACTGACTCATATTTTGAGCACATGACCACAGGGCTGCTGCAACAGTCGTAAGTGTGAAAAATGGTCATAAGTCAGTACTGTTGTAACTTTGGTCACTAAACAAACTGTTGTAAGTCAAGGACTACCTGTAATTAATATAGTACCAAGCTGTTGTGAATATCAATGTATTTTAGCACAATGCATTCATTCAAAACCAATTTAGTCTAATACAGGGGTCCCCAATCTATGGGCCACGGTCCAGTGGCCAGTAAGCCATGGCCCACTACCTGGTCAGGCTGGCCAGTGTGTACGCACGTGCATGCACAACCCTTCACTTGTGCTAGTGCTGCAGCTGCAGGGCACAAAAATGGGCCACCGCCACACCTTGGGGCGTGAAAACGGGACACCAACGCCATGCCTCAGGGCATGAAAATAGGATGCCAATGCCATGCCTGGGGGCATGGAAACGGGCCACTGCTGTGCTGTGGGGTGCAAAAACTGGGCGCTGCTGCGCCACAGGGCACAGAAACAAAGCACTGTGCCACTCAAGAACAGGGCAGGGCTAGTGAGTATCATGCAGGCATTAGCCCCATATGCACACACGCACGCATGTAAAATGCTTCCCCCTCCCTTTTTCTCCGGTCCACCAACCGACAAAGATTGGTGACCTCTGGTCTAGTAGTTAAGATTTTGTTGTTAATTGCGAAGTCGTGTCCGACCTATCGCGACCCCATGGAGTAGTTAAGATAGCAGGGTAGAAATCAGGAGTCTGGCTGGGTGACTTTGGGACAGTCTCTCTTAGTCCACAATGCCAGGCTCAGACAACAGTCCAGTTGGTTAACTTCTGTGGCAATCAATGGATTAATTCTCAATCAATCAATCAATCAAAAAAAAAGTGGAACCTGCACTTATGGGGAAAATGCTAGGAAAGAAGGCTAGAGCATTCACTGTTAGTAAAATACAATCTATTATCAAATTATACTAACAGTGGGTTTTACT